TTAATTAAATGCATTCTAGTAATTGAATTTCTTGCAATATATAACCCTGTATACTGCATACAGGAGTAAATTATCCTTACAGTTTAATTAACTGTATTCTGGTTGATGGAGCGCTTGCTATATAACCTTTTGGTTTAATGTAATTCCATGTTAGTGCTCCAACATACAACTTCACTCTCAGCATAGTGACATTAGCAGGGAATGCTCTGTAACATAACTTATAATAATGATACAGAGTTACCATGTGTAGAGTGTCTCTTTAATGTTTTTTTATATATAGTGTGTACAGAATAAATCATGAGTTTCCTGTTTACTTATTTATGAATTTCTTTAAAATCTAATAATGAATTGTGAAAAAAAGAAATAATCTATGCAGTAAAAATACTACCTACCCTCCCAAAAAACAACAAAAAATGTCTATTAAATATATATTTTCTTTTTTTCATCCATAGTGTTACTGTTTGTTTCTCAGTCTGTTGCTTTCTCTTCCCTTATTTTCTATATATGGATTATTGAAACACAGCAAAGCTATCATTATATGGAATGAACGAAGACATCTGACTAAGGGAGTCATTTGGCAACCAGATGCAAATGAAAAAGAAAATCATAAAAATTAACTCCAGCTGAAAAAAGAGCAATAATGACTGTGCCAAAAATAGCAAAAAAAAATTAAATAAAAAATACACCTGGATGGAAAATATCACTTGCGAGAAACAAAGGATGCATTAGTATGTATTTCTAACAGGTAATCAGCCAAAGCACAGATGCAGTTGAAAGTATAGTAATAAGTGGGGACTCATTGCTTCTATGTGTCTTATCTTCAGATCTTCTGTTTTAGTACCGTTTTGACAAGTTTTAAACATCAAAATGGGCCAATGTATAAGATGTATGTAAACAAATGTTTTTGAAAAAATGAAGATCATTCACTGTGTTTTATTTGTGTTTCAAAATAGCACATGTTAATATCTGGTTGTATCATACTTTTAGAATGTATTATTCTCTTTTAAGAGTTTAGTTTTTGTAAAAAAATATTTCTAGCTAATTATGACTTCCTTGTAAACACTGCCAACATTCGATATTATCAGACAGTGCAAACAAGCTTTTGCTCCACTCTGCAGAGTTAAAGGGACACTATAGTCACCAGAACTACTACATCTTAATGTAGCAGTTCTGTCTATATAGCCTGTACCCGCTGGATTTTTCAGAAAAAATGTTCTTTTATACACACATCTTGGTTTAAGATGGAAATCACTACTCTCTACATTTTTATCTAGATTCCAGCAGCCATAGAGAAATTAAAAATTAATTGAGTGTGGTATTTTTTGTTATTGTTATTGCCATTAATAAGACATAATGTTAACAATTTTAATATGGGGACCCACCTGGTGGACACTCCCCTAGGGGACCAGATGGGAGACTGGGACACAAAGGGTACAAGAACCAATCACAGACTTACACATTTCAACAATCCCACAATGCATCACAATCCCTCCTCTCTGTCCTGGAGATAATTGGGAAGTAATCCAATTATCTCCAAGGACAGAGGCAAAACTCTATTACACACATTTTCAGTAAAAGACATAAAATTACACACAGTTACATTTATTACATAAAACATAGACATTCTACATATCCCCAGATAGCTTAGATCTGAGCGCATATTACTACCGAATGCCGCTCAGATCACATACATATAGTTCAATCGCCATGGAGCCAAAGTCTTTCACATAGTCTTTTGTTACACGAACAGGCTCCATGGCTTAGCTATCTGGGGTGATGCTGTTCATCCGGTTAAACTACCGAATGAACAGTTATTCGGTTCCGCTACCGAATGGGAAGGTAAGGAGGCTGGCGGCTCAGCGGTGTTCGCGCCAATAAGTGTCCGTTTTCAGTTCCATAGTTTGGGCGCTGAACACCGCTGGCCGTTCGGGAGGTAAAATGGCCACTGCCACGTGTTCGGCAACCGAACAAAGGCCACCCAGCGTTCATCAATTGAGCTGTGGTTAACCGCAGCTTCTGGGCGGTCAATTGACAGCACACTCCAGTTCCCAGGTGGTCCATTTTTCGGTAGTTTGTTCGGTAGATTGAATCTACCGAACACCCTGGCAGAAAGGCACAAATAAACCTTTCAGCAGGGAAAATAACAGGTTTGAACTGCAGGGCCATAGTCTAAAGGGAGCAGGCGAGCAACCAGGCTTCTCCAGTGCATAGTGGCGAGGTTGGTTCCGCCACAGTATGTAGGTATGGCGTTTTTAAAATTACATAAACATTTCAATAATATACCATAGTGAAGTGCATTAATAATATGGGGGTATATACAAAAATAGGACCATTCACAAACGGAGAGCTAATAGCTCAGGTTGAAATGGCATTCAGGTCTGTTTAGGCGACCCACCCCCAGGATAACAAATATCTTGCTCCAACCATCTGGCTGATTCAAGAACAGGCCAAGGTTAGGATCTGGGACACAAACAGGGTATGCATACAATCCAAGTCTGGTACACAAATGGTAATTCTGCAAGCCAGATCTGATAGAGCCCTTTAGTCAGTTTATTCCTGTTATTGACTAGTCTTGATCTCTTGTCTTTGTGTATCAGATCTGGCTTGCATGAATACCGTTTGTATAGAGCAACAAATGCCTAATTTCCACTGAGTGGATCGGTTCGGGTCGATACAGTTTGGAAGGTTTAGAATGGTCCAGCCCATTCTGGTGAGTGTTTCCACTGCAAGCCAGACCTTCAGGGGCCATGCGGGGTTTAGAAAAAATGCTCTTCCTGTCCACCAGTCAATGGATTGTATAGTAGCTCCACCCTAACCAAACCGTTCCATTTCCAATGGCCCTACATTTGAAGCAGGACCCTGAATGGATCGGTACGGTTCGCTTATATGGACCACTTTCATAATGGAAACACCCAAAATAGCGAACAGTACCGAACCGAACTGATCCGCTCAGTGGAAACGAGGCAAAAGAGTCTGCTGAGGTCTGTTAATTAAATACCTCTCCACCAGCATTGAGAAGCCAGCATCGAGGAAAAAGAGGTGACATATCAGGTCATGACTAGGGTATTCCCATCCAAACAAGAGCAATACATATATCTCACACACTGACTAAGAATATGGGACTAATATACATAGTATACCATACAGAGAGACTTATTTTATTTATTGGGAGGGGGAAGCATGCATTTTCAGTAGCATAGGACTAAGTCAGACCAACACATATACACATATATTCATTTACAAGAAAGGGGGTTAAGGGCTGCGCTAAAAAATAAATCAGCAAATAATAATAATAAAACCGGATATAATCAATAGACAAAGTTCGTCCAAGAATAAATTGAAACAGTCTCACTGATATGTGATGATAAGATAATAGTCCTCAGGTGTTGATCCGTCCGTATGGTGGCAGATAGTCCATATATGTGGAAATAGAAAACAAAAAGAGAGCTTCCAATGGTGAAATATTGTATGTCCAAATGTGATATATAAATCAAGAGAAAGGTGTTTCACTCACATTTGTTGGAGCTTGAACCAGCTCTAGGAGAAGAGGCACTTAGTGGTTTGATCCCCACTATAGGATATACTTGGATAGTAGGTCCGTCTGTCCGGCTTGGGATTTCCTTGGTGTAGGCTGGGACCTGCCCAGATGTGCGTAATTCTTTAGTGCTGGGGAGATAGGTCCGCCTCTCCGATTTTGGATAGTGGGTATCCACGAAATATATATAAAACAACAGATAGTGCTCTCAGTATGAACAATAAAACAATTTTTTGAAATAAGTTATACTTACAAGGATAGAGCAGACAGATACTGCTCTATTGCCACAGCGCTGGTGGAATTATCCCCACCTACGGATTTCTTTGGACAGGATTCACTTGAGAATTATATTTTATAAAAAAATAAAAATAAATAAAATTAAAATAAAAATGAAAGTAAAACAAAAGAATAAAAAAATAAAAACTATAAAAATAGTAGGATATATGAGGGTGCCAGGAGTAGTAGAAGTGTATAAAATACAATAAAAATAAGTATAAAATTGGTCCTAGTATAAAAGGTAACCAAAAAATAACTTTTTTTGATTTAAAATACATTTATTAAAACCATTTACGCGTTTCACCTATGAGGTTTTTTCAAAATGGTAAAAGAACAATACACCTGGCAGGAAACAGAATTTAGCGCAGCCCTTAACCCCCTTTCTTGTACTTTCCTGTCTATTAAAGGGTTTCTTGAGGGATTCCCTTTTAAGGGTTGCTGCTTTTTTGGTCCAGCGCAGACTCTTCCCCCCTCTTTGTTTTACATATATTCATTTGACAGCAAAATAGAGGGTGATCCCCTTAAACCCAATAATTCACACGTAGGGTGCAGAATACTATCACAATCTTCTTTAGATTAGATAATAGAACTGCTGGAACAAATAGATCAAATAATAAGAACTTTACTTAGTCATGATACCTGCTATCATCCTGTAGATTGGAAAATAATTATGGATCATGACACCTTCATTGATCACTGATCAGATAAAATTGTATTTGATATCAATATGTTTGTATGTTTAGTGACGAAGTGGATTCCTTGAAGGAGCTATTGCCCCCTGATTGTCCCCAAAGACTTGTACTGGTTCATACTGATTGTCCATTCCCCTGAGCAACTGCATCAGGTTCAAACCTTCTTATGTAGTTGCATATAAATCTATGTATTCAGCTTTACATGAAGACAAAGCTATTGTAGACTGTTTCTTAGACTTCCATGCAATCAGTGCACCCTTCTCTATAAGACTACAGCAGTATCGGATAATGCTTTTTCTTTCATTCATATCAGAGGACCAATAAGAATCTCAGTATGCTTCTTCATATCTTGATTACTCTTCTTGCAGCATAACTCACATTTAAGGATACGTTTCAAGTATCTTGCCACGTGTAAAGCTGTGACCAAAAGTTGTTCGGGGGGAGGGGGGGCGTGTCCGGCAGCCGGAGAACATGGCCGCATAATCTTTCTGATCCTCATGGCACCCGCGATTACGACGCCTAAACCACTCACATCATACTCAGAAAACCCCCCAGATGGGTCGAAAGAGACCCCAAGATCGGTGGGACCAGGAGGTGAACAATCGATCAGGTCCTTCCTGCACACCACGGCCCGTGACAGGACACCGCAGTGCGAGACGGAGGCTGCAAGCCCGACCAGGGACTCCTCTCCCTCCACCCCAACGAGATTCTCGCCGTCACCATCCCGGATGTCGGAACACCAGATGTCGCCGGACGGTGAGTGGAGGGCCATACTGTCTAATCTGCTAACCAAGGCAGACTTTGAAGCTCTCTCCGACCGCCTGGGCCGCATGGTCCGGGAGCAGGTGGCCCAATTAAGAGCAGACCTGTCAAACGTGGAGGCAAGGATGTCTGTGGCGGAGGCTGAAACCAGGGCGCTTCGAGCAAACCAACACCACAGTTACCAATCAAGAAACCAACATGGCCCACTTAACCACGTGGGTAGATGATTTGGATAACCGCGGCCGCAGGATGAACCTGCGCGTCCGCGGAGTGAGAGAGGGAGGCCCAGCCGACAATATCCCAGAACCCCTGAGGCAGATCTTCAGCCAGGTACTGGGCAACCAAAATATGCCCAGACTGGGCCTAGTCAGTGCCCACCGAGGGGACAGACTGCACAATGCACCAGGCAATCAAAAGGAGATATGCCATATGGAAAGCCGGATGGCTCCACATACCGCATGGGGGAACCCAACAGCTTTTGGGTGGGGAACGGGACGCATAGCACACCTCTACAGCAATGACTAACTTGGTACTGTACAGGGATCTACTTGTACCTTCACCCCCACTCGCGACCCAGATGACGAGACCACTAAACCTAACCACAACACAACCCCGAAGCTCAGTTCACAAGAACACCCAGGGAGCAATGACAAGGAGAGGCAGGACGGGATGGATCTAGAAGTGGAGCAGAGGGAAACATGGGAGCGGGGGAGACTAAGAAGCCAAGAGAGAGTCAGATAAAGGGAGGGAAAAGAAAGAGATCAGGTGCGGAAGTAATAAAACAAAGAGTGACAATAACGGGGGGGAAGGGAAGGAAGGAAATAAGGGGGGGAGAAAAGAGGAGGGGAAAGGAAAGGGGGGGAGGAAAAAAAACAAAAAACAAACGCATACGCATCAGTTGAACAACGGGTGGAGAGATTGAGCCTAGCGTAAAGAGGGGTGACGCCACATACAACTAATAACCCCCCCAAGGGCAAGCAGAGAGGGGGAACCGACACAGAAAGCCCAAGTCGAAAGACTGTTTCCAACAAGCCGGCTATACAGCCACAAAGGTCGATGTTGAACTGACGCCAACGTCGCACACACTGACCCGAGACTGTATACTTGCACAACACACCATTTCTGTACACATCCATAAGATAATGCAAACTCCCATAACACAAAGCAACACGACTAGGGAGATGGAGGCAAAGCCCAAAGGTACAGAGAGGCAAACCAAGACCCCCTCACCCGTAACCATGCCTGCAATGAAGCAAACATATAGGCGGACATAGGCACCCATGAGACCCCCACATCCAATAGACCCCCCTGGGCCCCACTTCAGCCCAACACATTCAACCCGCCAATGCAAATGAAGGAGCTAGATCCCGCCACCCAGCCCAAACACACAGCCGCATTCTCAAACCCTATAGCCCGTCACGGGAGCCCCCTGAGACCTGGACCCAGAAACCGCCAAGGCAGATAGATTCAAGTCAATCTAGGCCCATTGCCATAAAACCGACCACACGCAACAGACGACCCGCACATACACCACAACAAAAGGTGCAGCAGACAAACTAGATACAAGACCACATAGTACCCACATACCACAAACAGCAGACACACTAATCTAACGAGCCCACTAAACAGCGGACTATACCACGACACAACAGGGCAGGATTCACCATCCCAGCCCGGCAACCTGCTGCCCCTGCAGGGATAGGACATAGCGAACCCCCACTTAGAGGGTGAGACTCCAACCCCAGAACATACCCGGACCCAGCACATAGCTGGAGCGAGGAGCCTGATCACCGGGACATTTGTCCCTTAACCTACATCCGATCCGGGTTCAGACACAGCAGAGCGAATCACAGTTAACTTGACTCCACACCCAGATATAGCTACAACTGCAACAAAATGCACATACATACCACCCCCTAGTCGGACAAACCCATCCCCCCCCACACCTTACCGCGCGGCCCCCTCTGGCCGCTTTGGAGATGCAGACCCGGTGTCGGACCGATTCGCCAGTCATCTCCTACAACGTGCACGGCCTAAACATACGAGAGACGTACTCCAGACTTCTGCAAGACCTCAAACACTACAAGATGTCCATAGTGTTTCTCCAGGAAACGCACTTCCAGGAAGGCCGAGCATCAGCACTGAAAGACCGCAATTTTCAGTTTGGATACTTTAGCAACAACCCTGACCGGCGCACGCTAGGGGTAGGTATCTTATTTTCTAGACAGATCCCATACATAGAACACGCCACTATCAGATGCAAACAAGGCAGATATGTCTTCACAAAAGGCACCAATCTTGACCAGACCTACACCTTTGCCAACCTCTACTTCCTGAACTCAAAACAACACCATACATGTTTGTATTTGGAGTATGCTGATTCTGAAAATGCTGATTCTGATTTATGTGAATGTGATGCATACTTTTCAAGTTATGAATAATGTGGAAAATTGTATTTCTCTGCTTGTGCTGAATTACATTACCCATTGTGTAAGGTAATTGAATCACATGCAGAGGGGAGGAATTTGGGTGGGAGTGTCTGAGTGTATTGTATGTGTTTATTGGTTGTGTTCCTGTGGGTGGTACTAATGTGTAAGAATGTGTACATAAGCACAATAAACCCACAACTCTGTCTGACCACTGCTTGACCCTCAACACAGAGCCTTGTTTCATTCTTGGGGGGATTTAATGTATGCTGTTCCAGTTTGACTGCTAGGAGTGTAAACCTATTCGTATGGTTTTTTCCTATTCGGCTGTTTACAGCATTCGTATGGTTTCCTGTTCGGCGGATTGGTGTTCTGCAGTAGCTGTGCCTGTGCATCTGGAAGGGGAAGATCTACTAAACGGTTTTTACCCCTTGTGTGCAAAACAGTCCGTTACAAGGCTCATAAAGCAGTGATCTGGGGACAGCTAATCACGACATGCTCCGCCCGTAAGCGGGAAGCAACCAGGCAACGTTAGACCTAAGCAAGGAGATCGCAGCCCTGGAAACCAGACACAAACTCACATTGGACGTGATGATATACAGGTAACTGGTCATCAAACGGGAGCAACTCTCCAGGCTCCTGCGATATAGCGCTCATACCAACACTTCAAACATGTAATACACGAACATGGGAACAAATGCGGGTGATTACTGGCGAACCTCCTAAAACAACGCAAGTCCCAACTGTACATTCCAAAAATCAAGGGCCCGCAACAGCAACACCTACACCTCAAGGACCAAATTTTGTCCGCGTTCCTTGCCTACTACCAGGGACTATACCATCCATGCCAGGACGCACCGGGGGAGCCACACCCCTCCAAACACGAAGAGATCCAGAGATACCTAGACTCAGCGAACAGGACCAGACTCGAAGACACTGACTGGGAAGGCCTGGAAGCACCCATCTCGACCGAGGAACTGGCGCATGCTATCAAAAGGGCAAAGACGGGCAAAGCACCACTCCCTGATGTCTACCCCCTCTCGTACTATAAGACCTTCTCCCAAGACCTCGTCCCGAAACTGCAAACGGCCCTCAATTCCATCCTGGAAGGGGCCACGCCAACGGCTCAGTTCACATCAGCGAACATCACCCTTCTACCAAAGGAAGGAAAAGACCCTACACTATGCCCAAGCTACCGCCCAATCTCCGTGCTGAACACAGATCTCAAACTCCTGGCTAGCATCCTGGCGGTGTGCCTAGCACCACTACTACCCAAGACAGTACGCCCGGACCAAACGGGATTCATCCCAGGGAGAGAGGTACGAGACAACACCATCAGAGCCCTGAACATCATAGCCCAAGCCGGATCGATGAAGACCCCTGTACTTCTCCTGCCCACAGACGCAGAAAGGCGTTCGACAGAGTGGACTGGGATCTAATGTTTGGCACACTTCAGAACCTCGGCGTCGGACCAAACTACCTCTCCTGGGTGAAGGCATTATACACACGCCCAACTGCCTGCATTCGGATCAACGGAGCACTGACAGACCCGTTCCAGATCCATAATGGGACCAGGATGGGCTGCCCCCGTCACCCCTGCTCTTTGCACTGACACTAGAACCCTTCCTTAACAGAATCAGACATAACGACGACATAGAAGGGACCCACCACAAAACCCTGGCCTACGCAGACGACCTCCTATTCATAGTCACAGCCCCAGAATCAAACCTACGAGCTATCCAGTTGGAATTCGAGACATATGGCCGAGTTTCGAACCTCCAAATTAACTATTCAAAGTCAGAAATGCTTAGTCTCTCCATCAATCGCACGCTCAGACAGACACTCCAGCGACAATACTCATATCGCTGGTGCGGCCAACACATGCGATACTTGGGAGTCTGGCTTACACCGAACCCGGCAGACCTATATGCCCATAACTACACTCCTATACTAAAAAAGGCGATAGAAGAACTACGCACATGGAATTCCTACTATATCTCCTGGCTGGGTAGGGTGAACGCGGTCAAGATGGCGCTGCTACCTAAACCCCTCTTCATATTCCAGACAGTGCCGATACTGGCTCCAGATTCATTCTTCTTTACCCTGAAGACGGAGGTCCGCAAATTCGTGTGGAAGGGCGGATCCCCGCGCCTAGCACATTCCCAACTGACGCTGCCCAAACTCCGGCGAGGCCTAGCGCTTCCGGATTTTGAGAAAACTACGTTCGGTAGTTTCGGTACCAATTTTTTTGAACTCTGGAGGTCTCAGCAGTGTTTGCCTAGTCGAGAATCCGATTTTAGTTCCAGACACTCAATGGCAAAACACAGCTGTTCGGGAGTTTAAGATGGCCACCGCCACGTGTAAAACTCCCGAAATGGCGGCCACCCAGGGACTTGAACAAAGCTTTCGCGGGTTTCAATATGAATACATTAGCCGAACAGGGAGGTAAATTGAAGCACAATTGGGAATCAGGGTGGTCCGGTGTTCGGTAGTTAATTTGGGATTTTTGAACAGTTTGTATTGTAGTCTATGGCAATCGGTTATATGGCGGTTTCAAACGAATGAACAGTTCACATAAAATACAGATCCTGTGAATGAGCACAGAGGGGATCTGTTACACATGTGAAACTTATTTAACACCAATTAAATTTAATTGTAAAAAGCAGAAAGAACACGTCTCCCAAATTGATCTAAATGTCCTGCTTTGACATCCAATTGGTAATGTCTTATAAATGTATTGGATAAGGGCCAAGTGGCTGCTCTACAAATCAGCTCTGGAGAAACTTTAGCTGCTGCTGCCCAAGACGAGGAGAGAAACCTGGTGGAATGGGCTTTAAGTCCCTCAGGCACTGGAACTCCTGAAGCCTGATATGCTTTTACAACAGCTGAAACAATCCATTTGCTTATAGTAGCTTTAGAAGCCATAGTACCACTTTTTATTCATCAGTTATGACAAAACGTCTGTGAGAGGAATGCCAGGAAGCAATTCCTATCTACATAAATCTTAAGACACCTTACCAGGTCTATTGTAGATAGATCCAAAAGTCTCACCTGATTGGAGAGAAGGAAGAACAATCTCCTAATTAATATGGAAAGAAGAGGTTACTTTAGGCCTGAACTCCAAACTGTATGTAGGATGACTCTATCCTTGTGGAATATTGTAAAAGGCTCTTTAGCTGACAAGGCATGCAGTAATAATAATAATCTCCTGCCTGATGTCAAAGCCACCAGCAAAACTGTCTTAATAGTAAACAAATGAGGAGATATAGACTCCAGAGTTTCAAAAGGCTGAGGTAATCTGCTACTGAATTTTCCACTCCCTGCTGACATCCATTGTTTTTACTGCCCATCTTACTTCTCACAGCGGAAAGCCTTTGCAAAGGGTGTCTTTCATTAAAGGAACACTGTAGACTCTGTAACAATTTAATCTCATTTAAGTTGTTAGAGTGCCTTAAATATTTTCATCCTTCTCTTATTTTTCAAATCATTTTCTTTATTCTTCATGAAGGCTTTGAAGCCACGCCCCAAGCCAGGCGATTCTGAGAGCCGGGAATGTAATTTTCCCGCTCTCATACCAAATCATACTCTGTCGTCAGCACGCATAACTGACTTAGGTATCACTTTGCCGCCTAATGCTCCCGCGATATCAGAAATTTGTTTATTCATTAATTCGTCGAAAGACGAATGAATGAATAGAAATTTCACACGAACAAACAAAGACCAAATGTCAGTGTTCGTTTGTTCTTCATTCGTTTATTACGAAGAGAGCTGCCGGATCGCAGATCCTTCCTTGTAATATGTAAAAATAGAAGCGGCAGGGAGCTGTGCTCCCCGCCACTTCATAACCCCCCCCATGTCCTTCCTCACTCTGTGGGGCAAATATGACCCCTATATTAGCATAAGGGAGATAAAATTTTCCCAAATGCCCCGACTCGATATGCTGCGAGTAGAGGCATATCTACTAAATAGTGAGCACTGTGGTGAGCCCCAAAAAAGGCCAAATAAAAATCCATAATTTCCAGAGACACCAAAAAAAAAAACCGTGGTGAAAAAATTAATCCATCTTCACCCAGCGAGGACACCATGCAGTCTGAGCTCCGCAGGGCGCAGTAAGGCCCTGCAATTTGGCTCAGAGCACTCTGATTTGTTGGTATAAGCCCAGATAGGTGAATAGTGAGCCTTACCCGATTGTGTACCTGAAAGGTTCACTATTGCGATTTAAAATGACTCAGAACACTCTGATTGGTTGGATTCCAAGCCAACCAATCAGAGTGCTGTTATGAGTCAAATTACACAGCATGGGAAAATTCCCAAGAACTTTCCCATGCTGTGTAAAATTACTCAGAGCACTCTGACTGGTTGGATTCCAAGTCAACCAATAAGAATGATTTGATAGGTAAATAGTTAGCCTTACAGGTACATAATCAGGTAAGGCTCACTATTTAAACCAACCAATCAGAGCACTCTTAGTTAAATTGCAGGGCATGGGAAGGCTTTAAAAGGAGCTGAGTCTGCGCGGTGCCCTCGTTGGGTGAAGATGGAATAATTTTTCAGTGTCTGGATTTTTTTTTTACGGCGTCTTTTTTTTATGCTCTGGTTATTTTTTTATTTTCATCGAAAATTATTGATTTTATTTGGCCCTTTTTGGGGCTGAAAAAAAAAAGGTTTTAGAAAAGAGTTGAGTGCCCTGATAGAAGTTAAAACATAACTTTTATTGTTACCAAATAAAAAATGAACAAAAGAGAAAACATTTGATTTCTGTGGTGCTTTTTGTGCTC